AAGGCTCCAGAGTCTTTCCGCGAGCCTCCGGGTGGACGAAAACACACCCCCAGGCTCCGGAGACCCTCTGGAAGCGGGAAACGGGCTCATTTCTGGCCTTTCTGAACTTCCGGGAGGCCTGTTTTTTGCCCTCCCCGAGACTCCGCGCGTGCCCTGCACTTACCTGCATCCAAAACGGGCTGCGTGGGGACTCCTGGGAGGGGAGGGGAGGGGTGGGCGCGGCCAGCCAGAAGTAAGATTTAGGGGTTCTCCGAACTGCATTGAATCTTAGCTCGAGATTTTCCCGAACCCCTGCAACCCCCCCCCCCAGCAGCCCCCCTCCCTCTGCCTTAGATGCTACTTCTTCCATTCCCAGAACAAGCGGATTGGACACTTCCTCTTCTGGTTCCTGAGGAGCGAGATTGCGCAATCCATGCACTACCAGCAGAGGTTTGCCGTGATCTTGGAGGCGTATCTGAGAGGGTGTGGCAAAGCGATGCTGAAGGACTTCCTCAGGCAGGTCCAAGTGACGGAGCTGCTGCACAAGGTCACCCGGGAGATCAAGGCCATCTCCGCAGAGAAGTACGACGTTACCCCTCAAGGTAGGTGACGTTTTCGGATGCCGTGCGTTCTTCGCCTCCCTCGTTTTTTTGGGTCACCTGGCAGCAAAATCCATGGTATCTTTTGCATCGTTGCGGTTTCCCGACGAGTCGGTTGTGAACCCAAGTGAAAACCCCAAAATAGACTCACGGAAGAGAACGTTAGTAGCTCAGGGTTGAACCCTGAGGTCTTTGGTGCTCTCTGAGTCTGGTGGTTTTCTCGTAGACGTTTCATTACCAAACTAGGCAACATCATCAGTGCAAGAAGGGAGGAGGGTTTGTGGAGGAGGAAGAGGAGGATGACTGTGGGCTCCTTGGTGCTCTCTGAGCTTGGTGGTTTTCTTGTAGACATTTCGTTACCCAAACTAGGTAACATCATCAGTGCTAGAAGGTTGTAGGGGTGGTGGTGGTGGAGGAGGAGGAGAGGGGAGGACTGTGGGGTCCTTGGTGCTCTCTGAACTTGGTTGTTTCCTTGGAGACATTTTACTACCGAACTAGGTAACGTCATCAGTGCTAGAAAGGAGGAGGATTTGAGGAGGAGGAGGAGGAGGACTGTGGGGCCCTTGGTGGTGTCTGAATTTGCTTATTTTCTCGCAATCATTTTGTTACCAAACTAAGTAACATCATCAGTGTAAGAAGGGAAGAGGGTTTGAGGAGGAGGAAGAGGAAGAGGAGGAGGAGGAGGACTCTCTGAGCTTGGTTGTTTTCTTGCAGACGTTTCGTTAGCCAAACTAGGTAACATCATCAGTGCTAGAAGGTTGTAGGGGTGGTGGTGGAGGAGGAGGGGGGAGGACTGTGGGGTCCTTGGTGCTCTCTGAACCTGGTTGTTTTCTTGGAGACATTTTACTACTGAACTAGGTAACGTCATCAGTGCTAGAAAGGAGTAGGATTTGAGGAGGAGGAGGAGGAGGAGGAGGAGGGGGACGACGACGACTGTGGGGCCCTTGGTGGTCTCTGAATTTGCTTATTTTGTCACAATCATTTTGTTACCAAACTAAGTAACATCATCAGTGTAAGAAGGGAAGAGGGTTTGAGGAGGAGGAAGAGGAAGAGGAGGAGGAGGAAGAGGAGAAGAGGAGGAGGAGGAGGACTGTGGGGTCCTTGATGCTCTCTGAGCTTGGTTGTTTTCTTGCAGACGTTTCGTTACCAAACTAGGTAACATCATCAGTGCTAGAAGGGTGTAGGGGTGGTGGTGGAGGAGGAGGAGGAGGACTGAGGATTCCTTGGTGCGTGCTCACATTGCTAGCAACCGGTAGCAAAGGTAATTGATTGATTTCGCTCCTGCCAAAAAGGTTTGGAAACAGTGTCCTGAAGGAGAAATGGAGGACCTACCAGCCATTCCTCATTCCATTTCATTCTAATTAAATTAAGTTTCTGAGTTGTTAAAAAAATCTCCCCCCCTCCATTCTCATTTCTTTAGTCATCGCGCAGCTGAAACAAAAACTTGAGAGGCTACAGGACAATAGGTTTCCAGAATGTTTCAGGGTTCCCTACGACCCCGGACTGAAAGCAGGAGCATTGTTGGTAAATATCATTTCCTTTTTTCTTAGCAAACGGGATTACAGCCTAAACAGAGCCCTTGGGACATGAGGAGGAGTGAATGGGCCACGTGGAGACTCCTGGGAGGGGTGAGAGGGCTGGGCGGGGCCAGCCGGTCATTGCAACAACCAGTGCGGCGAATCGGATTCAAAATTAGCACATCCGGTTTGCCCAAACCAGCCCGAACTAGCTGAATCTCACCTCTCTTACTAACATATCGACTGCTGTGTTTCAATTAACAACTTGGGCAAGGAATGTCGTAAAATTGGGGGGGAAACTCACTTCAATGTCTCACTTAACAACAGAAATTTTGGGGCCAATTGTGGTCATAAGTTGAGGACTATATGTAGATGGAAAGTCCTGGCCTTTTAATCATGAGTTCTGGTGGTGAACGGTGTACATAAGTGTCCCTCTTTTCTCGCAGATCGAAAAATGCAAAGTAATGGCTTCCAAGAAAAAACCTCTGTGGCTAGAATTCAAATGCGCGGATCCAACCTCTCTGTCCAGCGAAACCATCGGCATCATCTTCAAACACGGTGATGATCTGAGGCAGGATATGCTCATTTTACAGGTAACATGTATGCAACACACTGAGGGAAGCCAGTGAGATAGGAGAAACTTTCAGCTTGTCCAGAATGCAGCCGCGCGAGCCATCGTGGGTGCGCCTCGGCACACCCACGTTACATCTATCCTCCGCGAGCTGCACTGGCTGCCTATTGGTCTCC